ATCCTTATGATATAAGGACAATCAGGCCAAAACTGTATTGAGCTGTGTGGTATAAAGAACATAGGGATAAGAATCCAGGGACTGTGTACTGGGGCTACTTCTGCCAAAAACGAGACATATGACCTTGGACAAGTCACCTAGCTCCAACTATAACTAGGCCTTCCCTGGAAAAGGTATGCGTAAGTCCACAGCATCTCAAAGTACCTCTGTGTTGCTTGAACCTGAACATGTTTTTTGGCGGGACAAAGCCCTCATGAATGGTATTAACCCTCATAAGAGAAGCCTGAGAGAGCTTCATTGTCCCTTCAGCCGTGTGAGGACACCATGAAAAGTCAGCCATCTATGAACCGAAAAGTGAACCCTAGCCAGACATCAAAACTGCAGAGCCTTGATGTTGGACTTATCAACCCCCAGAACTCTGAGAAATAAACTGTTTCCAACTCTTGGCTATTGTAAAGAGTGCTGCAATGAACATTGGGGAACAGGTATACCTTCGACTTGATGATTTCCATTCCTTTGGGTATATTCCCAGCAGTGGGATAGCTGGGTCATATGGTAGATCTATCTGCAACTGTTTGAGGAACCTCCAAACCATTTTCCATAGAGGCTGCACCATTTTGCAGTCCCACCAACAATGTATGAGAGTTCCTTTTTCTCTGCATCCTCGCCAATATTTATCGTTCAGAGTCTTTTGGATTTTAGCTATCCTAACTGGAGTGAGATGGTATCTCAGGTCCTAGCTCCAACTATAACCAGGCCTTCCCTGGAAAATGTATGCCTAGGTCCACAGCATCTCAAAGTACCTCTGTGTTGCTTGAAACTGAACATGTTTTTTTTTGGGCAAAGCCCTCATGAATGGGATTAACCCTCATAAGAGACGCCTGAGAGAGCTTCCTTGTCCCTTCAGCCATGTGAGGACACCGTGAAAGGTCAGCCATCTATGAACCGGAAAGTGAGCCCTAGCCAGACATCAAAACTGCAGGAGCCTTGATGTTGGACTTATCAGCCCCAAGAACTCTAAGAAATAAACTTTTGTTGTTTATAAGCCACCCTGTTTCTGGTATTTGTTATAGTAGCCTGAGTGAACTAAGACATATGAGTAAGACATAGCAGAACTACTGGGAAGATGCAGGAGGAAAAACTTGATCAAACATAAAGCAGAGTTGAGATGCATGCATCTTCAGAAACGGTGGCTGATCAGTGCACAGACTGCTCTGGTGAAAAGCGGTGCACTAGGAAGTTGCTAGTAAAGATGCCTCATCGAAATGCAGATAGGAGCTTGGTTTTTTTAAAAAATTGGTGGGCTCAAGCCAAGATCTCCAAGGGATAAATGGAAGTAGGTACTATCTGGGCCCCAGGAGGAAAGAAGAGAAAATTCATGAAAATATCTCTGTGACAGGTCGAGCAGGTGGAGTTGAAAGGAGGTATCTAGAAGGCCCAGGAGGGTGTAGGGACCTGCTGGAGGGGGGAGGGCTGTGGTTCAGCCTCCTCCTCTTTTTGCCCCTACCCCACCCTTTGTGATGAGGCCACAGCTCTGTGATGCAGGTCTGGGGACTAGTCCCCCAGGGACTCCCAGGGCTTAGTTGCCTGAGAGCAACAGTGCAATTCAGAAGATGGAGAATCTTCTCTCCCCTCTGAATAGCGTTATTGCCACATGGCTGAGCCCTGGCTTCACTTCCTGGATATTTGATATCATCTTTGCCTTCCTGGGTGGGTTGGGGTTCTATTACCTGATACTCCCCTGTTTCCTGAATGATCCATCCTTACCACCGCCTAGGAAAAAGGGGAGCATGAGGAAGGTAAACAGCCTTCTGCCCAGACCCAACAGAAAGTGATTCTCTCTTTTCTTCCTATTGCTATTTCTGCTTTTCCAAATCAACTAGAGAGACTCCTAAGATGGGAGATCTCAGGAAAGAATAGAACAGCGCCCTTCTAGGGACAGATGGGGCAGGGGTAAGAGCAGGCACTAGGATTTCTATCTGAAGTGCTCAGACCAGCTGTGCAGCTGAGCTGGAGGGGCCAGGGCAAGGTCAAAAGCTGAGACACACAGGCCGAGCCCATGGCGCACTCGGGAGAGTGTGGCGCTGGGAGCGCAGGAGTGCTCCCGCCAAGAGAGACTCCTAAGATGGGAGATCTCAGGAAAGAATAGAACAGCGCCCTTCTAGGGACAGACGGGGCAGGGGTAAGAGCAGGCACTAGGATTTCTATCTGAAGCGCTCAGACCAGCTGTGCAGCTGAGCTGGAGGGGCCAGGGCAAGGTCAAAGGCTGAGACTCAGTGGCCAAAGACAGGATTGCTGAGAGAGCTGAGGTCACTGTGGGAGGACAGGCCCTGAGCACTGGCGCATCAGTCCCTGCCTGTGGCGGGCATCTTGGGCCAAGCCTTGCCTCCATGTTAGGCTCATCTGAGGGCCTGGCTGAGTCCCTAACAGTCTCCCATCAGAGGCTGGAGGTGACTCCTACCCTACAACTCAGGTGCACGTCTAGCCTGTGGGTTTCCAGAGCAGAGAAACTGAGGACATCCACAGTGGATCTCACTTAGAAAGTCCCTCTCTGTGTTTCAAAGAAGGAAAACAGGAAATATTTTTATCCACTTTAAAAATGAGTGAAGCCAAGAGAAGAGCTCAGAGCTCCATCAGCCACATGTACCAAGTCGTGTTGTTCATGAGCACTGAAGGCTTGTCTGGGAGGAGGAGAGTGAGACTCGGATCCCAGCCCCTCGTTCTTGTTCCTTCTTGTCTCTCAGCATCAGGTGGAGATGAAGAGGAGCAGGAGCAGGCAGAGGCGTGCTCTGATAGGTGAGGCTCTGTCCTTCTGCCCGATGACTTTGCCGGTCCCTGAGTAATAAGGGCCACGTCTATGAGGATGTCGTTGCAGAGGCCCGAGAGGGAAGCTCCTGGGATGGGGATCAAACCTGGGGTACTGCTCAGGTTCTGCACTGGGAATGAAGCCACAGCGGGCCAGGGAAGGGCTGTTGTCCAGCAGGGGTGGGGGTGTGGGGGTTGGGTAATGGGCCAATACTGCCTGGATGGAGGTGGGACCTCCCGGTCCACTATGGACATGCTGTTTAACTTTGCTAAGGCTGATTCCTCTTTGGGAGGACCCTGTCCTTCCTCCCCCAGAGGGCAGTGGTGAGGACCATGGGGCGCTGGATGTGGAAGTGCTTTGTAAATGACAAAGTGCTACCCATCCGTGCACCTTGCTGTCCCTGCCCAGGATCACACAGCCTTGGACACTGATGCTGGGACTCTATGGTCTAGTTTCCCATGGTCTCTCATAAAGGGACATTCCACCCAGCCTCTTGTAAGATCCCCAGGCCCCTCCCTTCACCATAACCCGGTCTCCTGATTTCAGCCTATAGAGATTGCCTGGAGAAACTGAGGGAGGTTCGGGGACTGATCTCGCTTCTGCGAAGGTGAGGAAATTTCCCCTTTTCTCTCATGTCCTCCTTCCTACTAGGGCCTATCATGTGATTCCAGGGCCTGTGGCTGACCTGGGAGGGGAGTCCACAGAAGTGGATGGGACGTGACTAAAGCCCTGGGGAAGGGGTGGCAGGAGCTTTGTGAAGTCAGCATGTGGGCTGGGCAGGGCGATGACCATACCTGGCTCCTGGCCCATCTGCTCTTGGCTGCAGTGTGCACCTCCTGTCTCCTGCAGCTACCTGGAGGAGCTCCCTGATCCCCTGGTTAAGGTGTGTAAACCAGCACCTGCTAAAGACCATCAGCCACGCGGGGTGCATGTGGAAGATGCTGCTCCGGTCACTGCGTCCGCACTGGCTGCGCCAGCTCCTCTGTCTGAGCGCCCTCTGTCTGTGGCCTCCATCCTGTCAGCAGAACCTCAAGAAGACCAGCCTGAGTGGAAGAGAATCACACCAGGCACTTCAGGCCTTGACCGTACCATGTCATTCCTATCCTTGTGGCAGGCGACTGCCAAGGCCTTGTTCTTCCCCACCTCCTCACATGGCCAATCCCAGCAAGAGCATCTTTCCCACCACCCAGCAAAGGCCTTGTTCCAGGGAGACCCCACACCCAGGCAGATAGAGGCTGGTGACCCCTCTTTCATCAACCCCTCTTTCATCAACCCCGATGTTCAAAATCTGCTGGAGACACTAATCACCAAGAGGGCAGAACGGAAGATGTGGAAGGAAAATGAAAAGGTCAGGTCATTTCTCAACCAACAGAGCCCAGAATCCTTCTGGAGCCTGAAAGGCAAACCAGAGCAACTGCCCAGCCCTCAGGAGCTCTCTTATCCCAGGATCTCGAAGGACCATTTACAGCAGAAATGCAGCCAGTTCTTCTGGGGCCTTTCTTCTCTGCACAGTGAGTCCCTGATGGCTACTGCCTGGGTCTCTCGAAAGCATTCCTCACAACCTTCTTCCTCAGTAACTGTTTTATTCAATAGATTCTCTGATTCTTGTCCAGCTCAAGCTCAGGCTACAGTACCTTCTCACCTTTCCCAGGCCAAGCCCTTGCCCCACCATGTGGCCCAACTCCAACTCCTGTCTCAAAACTGGCGCTCACCTCTGACTCAGGTCCAGACACGGGCCCATCCCCCATCCTCTCTCCCAAATCCATTACGTTGTTCTCCACCTCTGACTAGGACCAGTAGAACATCATGTCCTACATCCCAGAAGGAGTCACCATCTTTCATCCGAACTAGCCATCAGCATCTGGAATGGCCCTCACAGAAGCGACTGAAACAGACTAGGGATTTACCCTCTGTGTTCAGAGAATCTCAGGAAGGCTTCAGCCAACACTCTCCCAACCTTCCCCAGAATCACAAACTCGCCTCCATCCTTCCTGGGGATTCTACCAGCCCTTATCTCCAAGAGCCACTGCAGCCACAAGGCACGTTCATCAAAGATGAACACCCCTATGGTCTTGGGCAACTGACAAGGCCTCAAGGTGAATTCTCACCAATGAAATATCAGTGTCAGGCAAAAATCAAGCATGGGCCCTTCAAGCATTCTCGATTTGTGGATGAAAGCAGCCAGAATGCACAGAAGATGGAGTCCAGGAGCTCTGGAAGATTCTGTAAAAAGGGCACAGGAAAGTTCAAACTAGACAAAGACCCAAGCAAGAATCCAGGCCAAGATCAGGATAGGATCTTAGAAGACCCATCCAAGGATTCAGGAAGCACCTCAGTGAAGGTTGTGGAGGTCAATAAGGAGTCATCAGAAAGTGACTTGATGAGGTCCCAGGAGTGTGACTCAGGAAACTACTTACTCAGGGCCGCAGACAAGCAGCATCTACAAGAAACACCGAAAGTCCACTTGGGCAGGAAGTTGGGGGAGATCAATGAAGGCACAATCCCTGGGAGTGTGTGTCAATCCAGGCTTGCTGCCAGTCATGCTTTTTCCAAGTCTGACACCCACACACAACCCAGAAATCCAGCTTCCTCAAAGGGTGAGGCGTCCCGCGTGGACACTTCCCAGGACCTTTCCTTCCTCAGTCCGGACACTCAGCAGGCATTAGACACACATATTAGAAGGATTCTGGTGAAGAACAGGTGGAGTCCAGATCTCCAGGACCCTGAACCCATAAATCTGAAGTTAAATGAGGCTCAACCCTTGTCTCTTCCACAGTCCACCTCTTCCTCCTCGACTACCAGGGAATTTGGGGCCAACTCAACAGCCGAGGTTGCCAATTTCTTGGGAGAACCTCCTCAGAAATATCCAGGAGGGAAGGTGACAACACACACTTCAGTTTCCACTGTAAGTAGTCCTCTTCACTTCAGTTTCCACTGTAAGTAGTCCTCATCCTAACCCCTCACCTGCGTGGAAGGAAGCCCAGAGGTCTGTGTACCAGACAGAGACCCCATCTAGTGACAAATGTGGGCACTCAGTGGCCCCTCTGACTGGACAGAACGGCAGGTGGCTTTCTCAGCCCCTCACATGCAATGTCATGGGCACAACCTGGCACAGTGCAAATGTGCTGGGGGCTGGGAGAGGCAGCCTAGAGCTGAATCCAAGTCCAGCAATGTTCAGCAGTGAGCCACAAGAGGAGAGTGCAAGCAGGGCCTCAGGAAACATGAGCCACAGCGCAGCAATGCTGCAGAGCAACGTAGGAGCCCAGTGTCCAAGGGCCGAAGAGACCAGAAAGGCGGCAGCGGCTGCGGAGAAGCCCCCTGCTTGGGGAGTCACGTTGGGAGTGGGTGTGATGGCAAATACCCAGACTGATAATGTCATTCTGAGGAGTTCAGGGTCTCTGGGGACTGGTAAAAGTGTGCCATCCTCTAGAATTTCCACTACTCAGGCACCAGGAGAGCCACACCTTACTGCACGGATTGCTGGTGAGTTTGAGTGCAGGGTGGAGGCCGAGTCAGAGAAGGGGACTCACAAGTGTGTGACCGGTGTCCTCCTTCAAGACTCCGCCACTGGGGTGCTCCACGCTCCAGACATCTGTTCTTCTCAGGCATCTCTGTCTGGCTTCAAGAGCACATCCAGCAACGATGCATTAGCCTCCCAAGGGCCACGTGACGTCTCGTGGAGGGGACGGAGCAGCCAGGGGCAGGAGAAACCTAGGAGCCCCAGATTCCAGAACCTATTGGAGAAGCAGAGCAAGAGGCTTGGCCCTATTGACAGGAGTGAGGGCCACAGGAGGCCCACACAAGGAGCACGTGAACACAGGGCTGCAGGGCTCAGCCAGCCTGCCCAGGACAGGGAATCGGTAGCGTCCTTAAGGAGCCAGTCCTCCCAGCTCCCACCAGAGAAGGGACAGGCATCTCCAGAAAGCCAATTCAGGCACAGGATCTGGCTCTTTCTGCAGTGTCTTAATCCCAATAAAAAAGGCAAAGGACAGGACGATCCCCTGCAAAAGGGAAGGCCCACGTCAGCCACAGCCTGGAGCCAGGGACCAGATCCAAGCAGATCATCTGTGGACAGCATGGCCGAAGCCCACGCAATCATTACAAGTATTGAGCAGATGCTGGTGGACAGGTTGCAGCTTCGGCATGGACATGGTCCCTCTGAGATAAATAGGCATGAAGTGAACCTCCAGGCCCCAGTGGGAGGGCATTCCTGCTACCCCAGGGGTCGTTCCTACCCAGAGCAAAGAATAGAGATGAAAGATATGGCCTGCAATCGCCACGCCACCCCTGCGGGCCACAGCCATCCTGTCAAGAACAGGCAGATCAGAGACAGGGACAGCAATTGGGCCTCACCACCCAGGAAGCATGTGTCCCCAGCCAGTCCCTGCCAGCATAGGACAGAGGTGGTGACAGCCTCTGGCCACCCTGTCCATCACCCCAGGCACTGTCTTCTTCGAAGAGGCATCTCATCTGGTCACCCAGATCATGCTTCTCACCCCTTTCCTAGAGGGAAAACTTTTCCCCCAGAAGAATCTCAGCACATGCAGAGAAAATCTGTTCTCACCCAGGTGGGCATGTGCTCTGTGTACTAATGGCTTCTCCCTACCAAGATATGCATTGTTTCTTAATATATGTTTTTCCTCCTCCGAGGTAGTGGCTCTGTCTTTGCCATGCGGGGCATAGGGAAGGGGTCAGCTCTTCCTGAGTGTGGCTTCTAGAAGGGACGGGATGAGGGAGGTTGACCACGGCCTTGCCGACCCAGTCTCACCCCACAGTCCCTCCCCGCACCTCATCGTCATGATGCAGCCATTACAGAAAGCCTTCAGCACTTGTCAGGATGAGCAGCCCTGTGAAAATTCCATTCAGATTGGGGCTCACCATCTTCCCTGCTTCCCTCAACCTTGAACTTGGTGTGCTGTAGGGGACAGGTCGACAGAGGCCTTGGTGACCAATTCCCCTTGCCTGGGAATGTCAGAGCCCAGTAGCCTCACTCATCACAGTGGGCTTGGGAAGTCTGGGGGGGCAGTGCCGGCCCTAAGTCCAGTGGGAGAAATGCACCCTTGGACCTCCCAGGTCACCCAGATCATGCCTCTCAGGGGGACAGACCCGCCTGCTCAGGGCATCTCTCTCCCATGATGTTGGGGATGCAGGAGGGCCCTCCTGACCCCTCTCAGTTCAGCCCAGTGACATGCCACAGCATGTCACCCTCCCCCCCCCGAGCAGTGGGAGGATGGGACTCTGGCAGCATCTGCATCAACCCCCGCACAGGCCACCTGCTGTGCCCTCTGGATGTGACCGTGTGTGCACTCACATCTGATGGTGGGACACGGAGGACGGATGGTAGGATGTGGGGTAAGAGCTTCATAGCTCAGACCCAAGGAAGGAAGTGTGTGGCATAGGGGCATCATCACTGGACAAGTTCCAACCCATCCACAGGCCTGGAAGGGACACGTAGGGGCCACACTCACCCTGTGCACCCCAGGGCCCTTGCTTGAGCTCCCAGGTCACAGGCCTGGGGAGGTCACCTTCAGCTCAGAAGCAGAGTGCCAGGCCATGGTTGACCATTTCCCAATGGTCCACCTGAGAGCTCACCCTGTCCCTGGCATCCTTGAAAGGAGACACTGGCAATGGAGGACAGCCAGTGCTGGTGACTTGCATCACTCACAGTCTGGTGATCACAACATGTGCACAGGATGCAGTACTGCACCCAAGGGACAGGTGGGGACTTACAGGGTGCAGGGGCTGGCCTGGGGTCAGAGCGAATGCCCCTGGCTTTCAGGCTAGCAGATGGAACTGTGCCCGCAAAGGGCTGGAGTGACCTGTCCAGAGGGACTGGGCTGCATCTGGGCCAGGGTCATTGTTCTTGGCTGTCCCTCAGTACCAGCGCTGTTGCCTCTTCCTGGGCCCAGAACAGTGCAAGGGTGTGCCACTTCTCTGGGTCATCACTTGAGCCAAGCAGGCCTCACTCCATGGAGAACAGTCATGTGTGGGAATGGTTGCTGGGCAGATGACAGGGGATGGCACTGTGCTCATGCCAGTCAGTTTGGATGAGGAACATACTGGCACTGGTGGAGGGAAGCAGGTACCACAGGCTCACCTGCAGCAGGGTCATGTCGCACTATAACCCAGGTGGCCTCAAGGGCAACCCTGTGGCAACAGCAGGGCCAGGACCAAGTACAGGGCCAGGCCTGTAGTCTGGCAGACACCCCCAGAGACCTGTGACAGAGATCCCCAGAGAACTCTGATAGAGACCCCCCTAGAGACCTGACAGAGATCCCGAGATCTGTGAGAGAGACCCCCAGAGACTTCCGAGAACCCCCAGATACCTCTGACAGAGACCCCCCCAGAGATAAGTGACAGAGAACTCTGACAGAGACCCCCAAAGACCACTGGAAGATACCTCTGACAGAGACCCCCAAAGACCACTGGAAGATACCTCTGACAGAGACCCAGCTGAGAGATCTCCACAGAAACCTCAGAGACCCAACTGAGAGACCTCCACAGAGACCTCTGACCAAGACCTCTGACAGAGATACAACTGTGAGAGACCCAACTTACAGACTCCCACAGAGGCCTCCGAAAGAGACATCCACAGATGCCACATTACACAGAGATCTCTGACAGAGATAACATAGAGCTGGCAGAGACCTACATGGAAAGATCTCACGAGACCTTCCCCAAAGACCTCTGACAGAGAGATTTTATACAGAGACCTCCCTCAGAGACCTCCCACAGAGACCACACTCCCATTCTTGGGAGCTTGAGCAGCTACCCGGTGACAGGTCTTCCCAGTGGGTCTGAAAGCACTCAGCAAACTGGCCACACAGGATGGAGACCATCAGCTGTGCTTCCCTGAGAAAACGCTCATGTATTTTTGTTTCACATGTACATCTGTAAACTCCTATTCTTCATGGATTTTCACTAGCTTGAGCTCTGACTCACAATTTACAGAATCACAGACTTTGAAAATGAGAAAAGTTCTGCAGCATCTAATGAGGAAAAATACCTTATTTGCTCAACTTTAGTAATTATCCAGTCAAATGGCATCAGGGACCATACATTTTCACTGCACAAGTCCCTGCACTCAAAATGACTGATGACTTTACTTTGGAAACATGAAGATGGGAGTCCTTGGCAAATGGACTCCAGGAGCACAGTGACCCAGCAGAGATGCCTCTGACCCACACTCACCCCTGCGGGGCCGCACAGCTAGGACATTCTCATGCACAGAGCACACTAATAACTATACAACTCTCTCTTCTGACTAACCTGAGTGACTGCTGCTTTTATTTTTCCAGTGACATCTCTAGCCTTGCTCTTTTCTTTTTCCCTCCTGGTTAAAAATAGAAATAATCAACAAATTTCCCCCATTGTGTGACAGCTTCCAACCTTCACTACTTTCTAATACCCAGAACAAGCCCAAACTTGTGATAAGTCCCGTTCTTCTTGCGCAGACTCCCCCTGTTTGGCTACAGGTATGTTTCTAGTGACCTTTGGCTAATGAGTTTAACCATAGCAATGACTTGTGGCCATAAAATCAAGTGGCCAGAGAAGATTCATATATTTACCTACTGACTAATTTCTGCAGGCTAAAAGTCGAGGCAAACAAAGCGTATTTGCAACTTATATTACATAAATTAATAATATATCAAGATTTCAAAGAAACTAATGAAGAAAAATGTCAATAATTTAAAAATGTATAAAGGATGTAAATAGACTATTCACAGGAAAGGAAATGTAAACAACTTTTTAAACATATTTTTAAAATGATGTAACCTCATTCCTAAGAAGAGGAAAAAACTATGCTGAAATGGCTTTTAAAAAAACCTGCCCGACTAGGAAAAATCCAAAAGACAGATCACACAGTCTGTTGTGATCAGCACAGGAAAACAGGCACTCTCAAACATTGCTCATATGGTGTAAATTTATATAAGCAAATAGGTAAAGCAATTTGACAAGGCCCAGAAGATTGTATACAGTACCCTTTATGTAATGAAATGAAAGGGAAAACAGATTTTCATATTTGATTGTATATACATAATAAAACTGTCGAATGATAAAGTGGTTACCTTTTTGTGTGGACTTAGGAAGGAATGAGGCAAAGGTAGACAGGAGAGAAAATGAGACTTGTATACCTTTTTATATTGTTTTGACTTATGCTTCTTGAAACTATTAATATTGTGGATTACATCGATTCATTTTTGAATAATGAAGCAACCTTACAGTAGTAGAATGAACAAATGTTCATGGTGTATTATTCCTTTCACATGTTCTTATTTCTATTTGTGAATATTTTGTTGAGGATTTGTATGTTTGTGTTCATGAGGGATATTGATTTCTTGTATGTTCTATGGTTTTGGTATTAGGGTAATGATAAGTTGGGAAATTCTCCTCTTCTACTTTCTGAAAGAGATTGCATAGAATTGATACTATTTTGTTTTTAAATGTTTGGCATAATTCAACAGTGAAATTATCCAGGCTTGGAGTTTTCTTTTTTGAAAGGTTTTAAGCTATGCATTAAATTTATTTATTTGGAATAGGACTATTCATTTTCTTTATTTCTTCTTGAATGAGTTTTGGTAGTTTGTGCCTTCTAGGAATTGCTTAATTTCATCTGAAGTGTCAAACTGATGAGCATGTGGTTGCTGTTAATATCTGTGGGATCTATAATGATGTCTCATTTTTCGTGATATTGGTAATATGTCTTTTCCCTATTTCATGGTTATTCTGGCTAAAGGTTTATCAATTCTAGCCATCTTTCAAAGAATTAGCTGTTGGTTGCACTCACTAATTTTTCTCTATTGCTTTTCTGCTTGGAGTTTCATTTAGTTCTTGTTTGTATTTACTTATTTCTGCTTGCTCTGAGTGTATTTTGCTTTTCCAAACTTACTGAGGTGGAAACTTTAATTATCACCCTGAGATGTTTCTTCATTTCTGATATAAGCACTTAATGCTATAAATTTCCATTAGAACATCTCTTTACATATATCCTACAAATTCTGACATATTGTATTTTTATTTTCATTCAGTTCAAAATATTTTCTAATTTTCTCTGCAACTTCCTCTTTGACTAATAGGTTATAGAGAAGTGTGTTGCTTAATTTCTCAGTGTTGTAGATTTTCCTGTTATATTTCTGTTATTGATTTGAAGCTTAATTTCATAATGACCAGAAAACATACTTTGCATTATTTCAATTCTCTTAAAATTGTGAATGGCCTCTCTTGGTGAATGTTTCATGTACACTGCTGTTTTGGGGTGGTGTGTTCTGCAATGTCAACTAGATCTAGTTGGTAGAGGGTGTTTCATAGCTCTTTATATTCTTACTGATGTCCTGTCTCCACATTCTATTGATTACTGAGGGAGTAATCAACTGTTAATGTACACATGCTGTTTTGCAGGAGAGCCCTCTATATTTTGTTTGTCTCAGGAGGAAGTGCTAATTTGTAATAAAGAGGAGTGGGCCACTTGCATAGTATGAGAGGATTCAGGGGAATGTGGGGATTTAAGACTTTGGGTCATCAACTCAAGCGTCCTCATCCCATGTATTGGGGTTCCATTTGTTTTTCCAATAAGAGCTGTTATCTCATCACA